AAAAAAAAAAAAAAAAAACCAGAAGCTTTTGGCACCACATTGCCGCCATTGCTCTCTATCTCTCTCTCTGCACGAATTCAAGACGAAGGTGATCTCAGTTTCGTTCTAAATATGCATTTCGCAAAGCTCGATGATTCGCCTATGTTCCGCCAACAGGTTTTTATTTTATTTTTCTTTTTGTTATTATACTGTTTCTGTGATTATTCAGTTATAAATGCGATGAATTTAGGAGCTCAAAATTCAAATTGTTGGTTTTGGTAGCTGGTTATATCGTCTCGGTTTACAAATTTCATATCTTTTGCTGGATTTCTGGTTAATATGGTGTGACATTTTAGCTTCCATTAACGTTCCTTTGCCTCCTTTTTGAATAAACGCATATAATGAACCATCATTGGCTTCATATAATAAATCAATGGCGTTTTTGCGACTGATTTATTGTTGATTTTTAAAAGGAAGAGTCCCCTCAATTTCTAGAGAAAAAAAAAAAGAGCCTTTGATCAATCTTGATATTTTAATGATATTTGAACTCATGTAGTTGATGGTTCGTTACTTAAGATGCAGAAAGGCAGTGCTTTTCTATGAATTTGTAGTTTATTTGTTTCGAATTCGATATTCCTTCCTCTGCACAATCTGGACACTTGAAGTTGGCTCATTGATGTGTATTCTTTCTTTGAAACAGATACAGGGCTTGGAAGAAGGTGCAGAGTCATTGAGGGGAAGATGTAACAAGTTTTTCAAAGGATGTCGAAAGTACACGTATGATCTTCAAATATATTTGGCACTTTCACCTCGCCCTATCTTCTTTTGTTTATTAGCAACTGCCATATATCTTTGAAATGTCTTACAATTTTTATACAATTGAATTTTCAGAGAATGGCTTGGAGAAGCATATGACGAGGAAATTGCTTTTGCAACTGCCCTTGAAACTTTTGGGGGAGGGCATAATGATCCAATTTTTTCAGCTTTGGGAGGTAGGTCTTTTTATCTCTTTCCTTCCTTTGAAATATGGGTTATATAATCTACTTGAAGAGAATAATACGCAAGGGTCACTAAACTAACACTTGTGCTTCTTATGTTTAGGAACTAAATAACCTTTTGAGCTCCTTGTTAGGCAACCACTAGACCCCAAAAACTTAAAACTCACGTTCAGCCCCATTCTCGAAACTGACCACAAGTAAAACTTTTAGGGAGCAGACCAACAATATATATTAAGCTAGCAATCTCAACACCAAAGTTCATGGAAATGTTGTACTGCTGCTATTTGTTTGACTTTGTAAACATAGTTCACGGCTTCGTAGTTACATTATAACTTATATGTTGTGTCTGTGTATTTTCTGTCAGTACTTATAAATTCCACAATGATTTTCTCAGGCCATGTTATGACCAAATTCACAATTGCATTAAGAGAAATTGCAACGTACAAAGAAGTTTTCCGGTCACAGGTAGTATTTTGTTTTCCGTGTCATGATGCTTACTTTGTTCTAATCGATTTTTCTGAGCTGAAGTTTCTTAATTTGTTCTCAGATAGAGCACATGCTAAATGATAGGCTGTTGCACTTAGTCCATGTTGATCTCCATGATGTCAAGGTACAATGTCTTGCAAGTTTTGAAGTACGCTTGTTTGCACATATATGAAGGCAATTCCCAAATATTAGTTGCGTTTCTGTTTTAACAGTGGACTTTGCAAATTCGCTGAAGCTTTTCCCTTTTCTTTCTCAGTTTCTCGGTTGTTTGATATTTTTGCCAAGGCATTTCATCATTTTGTAATTTTAGGAATCACATTTCATTTAGTAGCATGCCCATTTTCTGGTAATCACTTTACATGGCATTGGTTTTGATATTATCAATTCTGTTTCCTTTCTTCCTTTCGTCCTTTTCATTGTCTAACAAATTCCTTTTTTCGCTAAAGTATCTTATTGATGCAGGAAGACAGAAAGCGTTTTGACAAGGCTTCTCTTGTATATGATCAGGTGGTTTTCAATTCTGAAAATTTCATACATCACATTGAAGTTTGCACAATAATTTTTTTTTTCATTTCCAGATTTTTTTCTTCATTAAAAATATGGTTTCTTGTGCAGCAATCATATTTATTTTTGTTAGATTTGAATATCTTTATTTATTCATGGTGCCTTTTTCATCTTTCATAGTAGCAATATTTGCACCTTTTAGTGCCAGTGTCTATGTATGTGCCTTTCTCATGCTAAGTAGTTTCATTAGTAAGATTATCCATCAATTAGGATAATTATTTTATTAATTTATATTGTGGCTTAATTTAATTGATAATAAAACAAGAATAAAAAACTGACAATGCTTATATTATGAATTGATCAATCCTTCTGATTATGACTTATAAGGTAAATGCCTATTATGTGCACAGGCACGCGAGAAGTTTCTATCATTGAGGAAGAGCACTAGAATGGATATAGCTGCTAGTATAGAGGAGGTATATCCAAAATTGTTTATCTCCCCATTGAAGTACTGTTTGTTTTGGTTGAATTAAGATAGTTTGCCATGGGTGACCATTATCCTTTTAAATCTAATTTGGTAGAGAGACATTCCAGGAACTGCACAATGCAAGATCCTCATTCGAGCAGGCCCGCTTCAACCTGGTAAGATCAGTCAACAAGAAGATCTTTCAGTTCAAATAAAGGCACAATACTGAAGCATTTAGGCTTTCAACATATATTGTACTTATGCATCCAGGTTACTGCTCTCTCTGATATTGAGGCGAGAAAGAGGTTTGAATTTCTGGAATCTGTTAGTGGGGTGATGGATGCTCATCTTCGTTACTTCAAACAGGTATATGGCACAATCATGGGATAATTTGTGCAAAGCAATACGTTGCATATAAGCTGATTCTGATATTGCCCCCCCTTCTTTTGCAGGGATATGAGTTACTGCACACAATGGAACCCTATATTCATCAGGTTTGTGATTATAAACTTTCTTCATAACTTGGCAGTGAATAGTTCAATTCCTTGATTATCTGGAAATTAATTTGATACATAATGTATTTCCATTGTTCTTACATAGTATGTAATTGGGAGACCAGTCCCCCTGAATTTTAGATGTATGAAGAGAGATATGTTCAACCAGGCATCTATTTGAATTTTCCATCCTCCAATTGATTAAGATATTCTCAAATTGTGTCTTGCATTTTTTTTTCCTTCTAATGTGAAATTGAAATCAGCAGGTAGTATGATGCTTACCGTTTCTCAGAAAGCATTAGATGTAGAATTTTCCCCTGGTCATGCAAAAGCATGGAAAGTAGTCTCTTGAGTTGTTGCTTAACCTGCACTACCAATCAGCTGGGTTTTATAGGATCTAACTGTCAAGTCATTATCCCCTTCTTTTCTGAGTTGTCTTCCAGAATTTTAACTTTAGATTTTCCCTCTCATTAATGCAATAAGTTACCTTTATGCGGGAGAGTTCTCTTCTGCTGGCCAAAGATCCTATCAGGGCTAGCAACCTTGCCTTCTGCATCTTGTGGTACTTTTCATACGAGGCTGGGTACTGTCGCATACTTGGCAAGCAGCATCAATGTTCTCTTTGGAAACTTTATGGTTTCCCTGTCAAATTAATTTCTCTTAATTGTTAAATTATAAGAGCTTAGTTCTTTTTCTTTGGTGTAGGTTTTGGCTTATGCACAACAGACAAGAGAAAGTTGCAACCAGGAACAGGTATCTCTCAATGAAAGGATACAAGAGTATAAAAGGCAGATTGATCGCGAAAGTAATCAGTCCTTGAGTGGTGTCCAGAGTTCTCCCAATGGAGATGGTGTGCAGCCTTTCTCTAGGAAATCACATAAAGTGATAGAGGAAGTGATGCAATCTGCTGCAAAGGGGAAGGTACTTGCAGTTGCAGATATGAATTTCCCCCTTTCCTATGGAAACCAAGCTCTATATTTCTAAGTTGCATTATAGCTATGAATATATTTTCAGATACAAACAATTCGGCAAGGATATCTCTCAAAACGTTCCTCCAATTTAAGAGGTGACTGGAAAAGAAGGTATTTCATTCTTGATAGTCGAGGGATGCTGTACTACTATCGCAAACCATGGAATCGGCCATATGTAAGTCATTAGCTGGAGCATAAGTTACAAAGCTTATTTTATGTCTCTACCACTGCTTACTTGATGTTAATTACGTTTACATTGTTTCAGCATGGGGGTCAATCTTCTCCACATAAGCATGGTTCCTCTGAAAATGGCTCTGGGCTTTTGAGCCGTTGGCTTTCATCTCACTACCATGGCGGTGTACATGATGAAAAAACCGTTGCACGTCACACCGTGAACTTGCTGACATCAACAATAAAGGTTGATGCTGACCAGACAGATTTAAGATTCTGCTTCAGGATTATATCACCTACGAAAATCTACACTTTGCAGGTATTGCTTTTTCTAAAAAATTCTTGGATGTGTAATGTGCGATTATTAGCGAAGTTAGTGATTGTCAGGGAAAGTTTGCTGTTCATGAATACATCAAATCCATAACGGTAGATTCTAATATTTTTTGGGTGATGCAGGCAGAGAATGCACTCGACCAAATGGATTGGATTGAGAAAATCACTGGAGTAATTGCTTCATTATTGAGTTTCCAGACACCTGAGAGGGTAATTGTTCAATTGGGAATTCTTAAAAATATACAACCTTTGGTTCTATAGTTGTTATAATGCTTATAATCAACTATTTGGCAGCGTCTCTCAACTAGCCCTACGGGAAGCGATGATCAGATCTCTGGAAGTGAGAGTAATTTATTAGAATGTGCTTTTGATGCTGATCAGACAATTCAGGAGTATTCACCTAAGATCAGTGCTTATAATTATTTGCGAACCTCTAAAAGTTTGCAATCGCTCAAGTACAAAATGAAAAGTGAGAAGCCAATTGACATACTGAGAAGAGTATGCGGTAATGACAAATGTGCTGATTGTGGTGCGCCTGAACCAGATTGGGCATCCTTGAACCTTGGCATTCTTATTTGCATTGAATGTTCTGGTGTTCATCGTAATCTTGGTGTACATGTATCAAAGGCAAGTTGTCTAGTTTAAGATTTATATTGTGAAATGGTTATGGCATGTATTACTTATCTAGAACTAATTCTTCCTCGAGTATCAATTATCTGGAACTAAATGATAGCATGACTTTGTTTTTCTGCTTTCTTCAATTTGCTCAGTGAGGAAGTTCTTTTAATACTTCTGATGCAGGTCAGATCACTGACACTTGATGTGAAAGTATGGGAACCTTCTGTCTTAACCTTGTTTCAATCACTAGGCAATACTTTCGTAAACTCGGTTTGGGAGGAGACGTTGTATTCAAAAAGTACTTTGCAGGCTGATAACATGCCTATAGGGTAATTAAGTAACCCGTAAGTATATATGATTGAAACTAATATTCTTTTTGTGCTAATAACTTGTCAGTTTGTGTGATGTAGTTTTCCCAAGGCGGATAGAAATGAGCCATTTCTTATGATAAAGCCCTGTTATGATGATCTTATTTCGATAAAGGAGAGGTTTATTCATGCAAAGGTGTTCTTCTAAACGCTCTGCTTACTCCCTTTGCCCATGTTCTGTTAACATTTCACGTTACTTGATGCAGATGGAGATAGAAGAATATTTTATTTTCTTATTTTTTTCAAATTTCTTGAGTAGAAATAATGGTGTTTACTTTGTTGGTTGGGACCTGGAACTGAGATTTCCCACTGATTTCAGTATGAAGAAAGACTTTTTGTTCGTCGTACGAAAAACAATCAGAAGTTCCACTCAATGGAGCAACAACAGTTGTGCAAAAGTGTCCGTGCTAATGACAAGAAAGCAGTTTACCGCCATATTATCAG